CATGGGGCCTGAACTCTGGGCCTGGGCGCTGTCCCTCAGATCTTCAGCTCAAGGCTAGTGCTCTACCACTTGAGCCATACCACCACTTCTGGTTTTTTCTACTTATGTGGTGCTGAGGAATGGAACCCACGGCTTCATGCATGTAAGGCAAACACTCTACCACTGAGCTACCTTCCCAGCCCCAGAGATACTATTTTTTAAATTTAAATGTTATTGTCAAGGTGATATACAGAGGGGTTACAATTACACATATAAGACAGTGAATACATTTCTTGTAAAATATTCTCTAGTTTCTTCTATTTCTCTGCAAATAATAATGTATCTTAAACTCCATTTACAAAGGCAATCTGTATACTTTGTCTTGCCTTTTAAAACAGGTTCTCATAAGCCAGACTCATGGTTCATTCCTATAATCTTAGCTACTGAATAGCCTAAGAATTGAGGATCATAGTTCAAAGCCAAAATGGGAATAAAAGTCCATGAGACTCTTGTCTCCAATTAACCATGAAAAATCTGTAATTGAAGGGGTAGCTTGGGTAGTAACATCAGGTTCTGAGTTCAAGGCCCAGGAACAGCACGAAACAGACATATCACAGAACATGGAATTTGTGGTTTCCCTTCTATCCACTCAGAGCTAACTATGCCCACTGCCATTCATCTTCAATGTTCATGAGGAAAGCCAATCAGTGTTTTCCTGACTTTTCCTATGATTTATAGTGGGATTACTGTCTTAGAGATTTTTTTTCTTTTCTCTTGTATCTCAGCATTTTCTCTGGTCATTTGTGAAGTTACCAATCTTTCTGTTACACCTGAATGTATTTGAGTCATTTACTGACACATTATTATTTATTCATTTGAGAAGATAATCCATTAATTTTCAAATATGTTTTCAACTTTCTACCAACTACACATTAGGATACGAGTTGTTCAATTTTATGAAGTCTTATTTCTCTCTTATTTCCCTTGGTTTCCAGGCTTCAGTGGTTAGTTGCAGGCTTTCAGTGTTCAGTTTTCATGCTTCAGTAACAATTTGTCTTCAACTCCATTTACAAATCTGTGTACTTTGTCTTAAAATATGATGTCACAAGCCCAGCTCCAGTGGCTCTTCCTGTTATCCTACCTACTCAAAAGCCTGTTCTACGACTATGAAAAAGTTAATAATACAAATTCACAATTTTACACTTGTATTTCTTGGTAATAATTTTTTTAAAGTTTAACTTTTAAGTTGGGAGTGGCTCACACCTATAACCCTAGCTATTCAGGAGGCTGAGATCTGAGGATTGCAGTTCAAAGCCAGCCTGGGCAGAAAAGTCCCTGTGAGACTCATCTCCAATTACTCAAAAAACAGAAGCAGTGCTGTGGCTCAAGTGATAGAGTGCTAGCCTTGAACCCAAAGAGGCTCAGGGACAGGGCCCAGGCCTTGAGTTCAAGACCCATGACTGACAAAAAAAAATTAACTTTTACACTTGGGTCTTTGTAATAATTTGTGCTCATTTTCACACATAGTGTTTTGGCAGTTATCCAACTTCAGCAATTTGCATGTAGAAAATACTTGTTTTGAATCTAATTGTTTGTAAAACCTTGTCTTTTTGCCCTTAACAAAAATCAATCTACCTTAAATGTAAGAAGGTGGATTAGGAATCTCAATTGTACTCTATTCATCTGCATGTATAACATTGCGCCAAAATCAAAAAACTCTAAAGAAATTAATTATTTTAATATTTGGGACTCTTTTTTAGTGTACATACAGTAAAGCCAAACTGGATACTATATCCCAGATTCCTTGTGAGTACCCACCTATGTCCTTTATAAGACAGGAGAGGCATTGTCATGTGTGTCCTACTGGTGCTGAGCATGAAGATAAACCTGGGATGTAGGGGGGTTCCTTGTCCCTTCTACCAAAACATCTCAGCGGCCTTCAGTGTCTGGCAGCAGCTGAGAAGCACTCTCCACAAATGGATGCCCCCAGAGAAGTAGCTGGGGCAGCCCAGCCTCTCACTTCTGCTTCCCTGGGAGGTTTTTGTTATGGCTTGTATCACTGTGGGAGGATCACGGTAACCTTGTTGACAGTAATAAGTGGCAACATCTTCAGGCTGCAGGCTGCTGATGGTGAGAGTAAACTCTGTCCCAGATCCACTGCCACTGAACCTGGATGGAACTCCAGGTTGCAAAGTTGTTGCTCTATAGATGAGGAACTGAAGGGCTTTCCCTGGTTTCTGTTGATACCAATGTAAATAGTTGCTAATGCCCTGACTTGCCCTGCAAGTGATGGTGACTCTGTCTCCTAGAGATGCAGATAGTGATGGAGACTGGGTCATCTGGATGTCACATCTGGCACCTAACATTGGAAACATGAAAACAATAATTATCCTTTTATTAGAAGACTTCACCCAAAGAAGCATTGAACAATGAACTAAGTTAATATGCTCAGCATTGTCCTTCCTTACCTGGGAGCCAGAGCAGCAGGAGCCCCAGGAGCTGAGCAGGGGCCTTCATGTCCGTAGTATGTGCTGACTGTGACTGACTCCTGCACAGTCTATGAGCAGCTATTAAGTTTTGTGAGAAGTGGGCTGTGCTTTGGGCAAATGCAAATCAACAGAAATTGCAAATCAGCAGAGGCTGCAATCGCTGAGCACAGCTGCAAGCATTTAAGATTTTGTTATGTCAGCACAGACCTCATGTGCCACAGGCTAAACCAAGGCAGTACAACTTTGCCTGAAAAATAGTGTTTCTCTCTGCGGCCCAGAGAACACAATAACTCTTTTTTTTTCTTATGAATAGAGTGAAGTTTGATCTCCGCCTGGTTTAGGATATCTTTTTTCATTTTAGTTTTCAATCAAGGAAAGATAGTTCCAGAAAGCGGAGTTAATTATTTTGAATAGATTCCTTGAGTCTGTTTCCTTGAATCCTTTTAATTGTTAATTGTTAATGAATATAATGCCTAAATATTGAACAAGATATAAGATTTATGTCCTAGGGAAAGAGGGAAAAAGATAATCAGTAGGTAGGTAGGTAGGAAGGTAGGTAGGTAGGTAGGTAGGTAGGTAGGTAGGTGGGTGGGTAGGTAGGTGGGTAGATAGATAGATACATAGATACATAGATACATAGATACATAGATACTTTTATTTAAAGTAAAATAATGCAAATATATACTGTGTGCAACGAAGTGCCATGGTCTGCAATGTATGGTCTAGCCACTGGATCTGCTATTAACTACAGGTAAGTGGTCACTGTCCTTCACTTCTTAATGCACTTTCACACTAGCAGTATTTAGGAGAGTTCATATTATATGTTGGTTCTCCATATGCTGAAAAGGACTTGGCTACCTTGTAGCTTTGTGATCCTTAAGCATTTCTGAGCTGGAATTCTTTTGGATGGCATTCATGTCTCCAACCATCTTGACTCAAATTGTTCCCAGTCAGAAACAGAGGTATTCTCCAAACTAAAGGCTCAAATTCACTTCAGTCTACTCTGCTTCCTAAACATGGATATTCCTAAATCACCCCATCTCTTCACGTTCCTAAGTTTAAAAGATTTAATAACTGGGTTTAGGGCTTTAAAAAAGTTCAGAAATGATCAAAAGTATTGTGGTGAGGGGTGTACACGGTGTTGAACACACATCATGCAAAGGACATTCTTAGCATGGGACAATAAGAAAAACTGTCACCGGTAGTGAACCCCAACTACAGTACAAAGGGATCCACACATGTAGTTCAGATGTGGAGACACTGGCTACCCTAGTACAGAATGTCACATCTGGGAACAGAGGAGCAGGATACTCACATGCACTTACTATTATAAGTCTAAGCAGCTGCATCAGTTGCAAAAAATAAAAATCAAACTCACTCACACATAAGTCACTGACAAGTCAAAGTTCTTCAGAACTATTCCCCTAAATAAATCACATGTGGTATTTGATTTGGAGGCCTCCAGTATCTAATCTATTACCACCATATCAGCAGCCTGAATCTTGGACTATGGAAGCCGATTCATACTACCACAAAATAAAATCATACTTACTATTTTCACCCAATTGATGGGTAGAGTCTTAAAACTGTAACTGGCTTATGATAAATAGGCAATCATGGTGCAAAGGACAAACAAAACATCTAGAAACAGTTCCTCATAGCTGTGTTTGAGAGCAGCTCTGAGTTGGGAACAGCACTAAGTGGCAGGGGGAAGAAAAAAATGAGTGGATATAAGGATAGAGATCCAGTCACCCTACTATTATTGTCACAGTCATCCAGTCCCTGAGCCCTCAGATGGGGACCATACACATAAAGACCTCTTGTCTGTACAGTAGAGCAGGAGGGTCTACACACAGTGGTCTCAATGCCAGTGTATCAGTATGTCTCAGAGACCAGGCTGCCAGGTAAACAAGGGTCAAGTGATATATGGCAATTTGTTTTGCAAAATGCATGCCCAATGTTTTGCTTGAAAAAAAGTATTCTTATTTAGCTTATAAATAGTCACCATTTTTGTTACCAACTTTGCTTTTATTTTTGCAAAAAAAAACACTGTCTTTGCAGTTTCAGATGTATTCCCTCTTCTGTACTCATTTCTTCTTTTATCCTCACAACACTGAAGTTTGTGCTGCCTAAGCAAGTGATACACTAGCACTTGAGCCATGTATTGAGGTTATTGTTCATTTTCATCTATTTCAATATTTTTTTAATTTCCTGTGAATTATTTCCTTAATCCACTGATGTTTAAAAATTAAGCTAATTTTTATTTATTTTGTTTACTTTCCAAAGGTTTTCTTGTATGAAGCTAAGTTTTTAGTATTTCTTGAAAGTTATTTTGGCCATAGAGTGTGATCTGTCCTAGTCAGTGTTTCATGTGCTGATGAAAACCATGCATTCTTCAGCATGTGAAGCAATGTTCTGTGGATATCTGTGAGTTTTGTTATTTCACTCTGATCATTCTTTGCTGATTTTCTGTCTGGATGATGTGTTCATTGATGAAAATGTGGCTGTGATTATATTGGAGGCTGTCTAGTTCCTTATGTCCACTGAGTGCTATATATATTTGAGCACTCTAATATTGGGTACTTACAGACTTACAATTGTCACTTTTCTTTGCTGAGTTCATCATTGTATAATGAATATCCTTATATGGTTTACTGTTTTTTACTTAAAATCTACTTTTTCTGATATTGGTTTGGCTTTTCATCCTTCCTTTTGGTGTCCTGGAGTATAGAATATGAGAATACATGATTACTTCTCCTTCTGTTCAGTATCTGTGTGTTTATGGAGGTGAAGTGAGTTTCTTGTAAGTCACATATAATTGAGTATAGTTTTTATCCCATTAGTCATTCCATGTCTCTAAATGGGAGATGTTAATCCAGTTATTAATACATAAGGAACCGATTGATAGGAAAGGTCTTACTACAAGTGTTAGGAAACTTGAATTCCCATTTGTTGCAGGTCCCTTCTTTCATTTTCCCTGTCTCATAGTCTTCCTTGTTAGCAAAGATGATTAACATGTGCTTTGATTCCTGGCTTACATTTTGGCTTATATGTTGAACAAGCAAAAGTGTAATCCTAAGGAAACTTCCCACTTAAATTCAGTTTCAATTCACCTTTGGATTTTTAATATTTCTTTTACATCTGTCTACATTATCAAATACACAAAAACAGTTATTAGAAATTTTTACATCTTCACAGTGAATTATGAAGGGTTTATCCATCATGCTTACAATATTAGATCAGTTGAAATATGTTTCAATAAATATACTTGCTATTAACTTTTATGTTTTACATATTTTTCCTTAGTAATTAACATCTCTTTCATTCAGATGAATTCAGCTTGAAACCTTCCTGGAACATTTCACAAAAGATGGGATTGGTGGAGATATAGTCTCTTTGCTTCTCTATGTCTAGGAAAATATTGATCTCCCATTTATAAAAAAAAAAAGCTTTTGTGGGTGAAATTTCCCTATTTTTAAGTTCTCTTTTCTTTCTGTATTGTAAAAATCTTATGCCATTCTTACTGCTTATAGGTTTCTTCAAAGAAATTGAGTGTAGTATTTATTTTCCCTGTTAATATGAGGATGTACTCTTCATCCTGAACCTTCAAGAGCTTCATTTCATGTCTTGCGTGGACATAGTTGAGCTAAATTTGTCTAGTGACCTTGACTGCCTCTATCTGTTTATTTCTATCTTATTCTAGGTTATGAATGCTATTATTAGTTGCTTAAATAAACTTGGTACATGTATTTTTTTCAGACACTCTGAAATCTTATTGCTTAGGGCTTGCTCCACTAATTTATGTCCCATGAATATAAAAAGGCATTTAGCATATAGATGTCTTTGTCTTTCACAATAAGCCATTAGTGATTTTGAAACCTAGACGTTTGACTTTTCAGAAGCTGGTCCTCCAAACATTAACAGGAATTTCATGAGCATGAGGAATGGCACAGGAATTGCATGAATGGGATGAGAATAAACAAAGATTAATAGAGACATTCATGGAATCCATGAACAGACAGCTGGAGGAATCTAGGAAGGCCACAAAGGGAATGCTGAATGAAGTCCAACAGAAGGAAAGGGATTCCAATGAAACTATAACCAATCAAATAAGGGATTGGAGAATGAACACTGAAAACCAAATTAAGGAGGTAAAGACGTCCATACAAGAGCTAAAACAAAGCTCCAATAAAGAATTTGAAGCCATCAAATCTAACCAATTAGAAGGAAAGGAAATAAAAAAACAAAGTAGAAAGTGTTGACAGTAGATTAGACCATGCAGAAGATCGAATCTCTGGGATTGAAGAGAGCCTAGACATAGAGAAAGAATATACAAGTATTCAAGACAGATCCAAGAAATATGATAGATCTATTCTATATTTATAAGATACCATCAGAAGGCCTAATTTAAAGCTACTGGGTGTAGAGGAGGGCCTAGAAAAAGAAGTTAATGGGCTAGGAAATTTTTTAACAGGATCCTAGCAGAGAACTTCCCAAACGTGCAAAAAGACAGGCTCATTCACATACAAGAATCCTGTAGAACCTCAAATGCACCAGACCAGAACAGGATATCCCATGGACACATTGTAATCCTCACAAAATCAAATGAGATCAAGGAAGGGATCCTTAAAGCTGTCAGGAAGAAAAGATCAATCACTTATAAAAGGAAAACAATCAGAATAACTTCAGATTTCTCAGCAGAGACAATTAAAGCAAGAAAAGCCTGGAATGGTGTATGCCACACCCTAAAGACAAACAACTATCAATCAAGAATACTGTACCCAGCTAAACTCTCCTTCACAACAGAAGGACAAATAAAAACCTTTCACAGCAAAAAAAAAAAATTGAAACAATATATCTCCACCAAACCAGCCCTACAAAAGATACTTAAAGATGCCCTACACATAGAAAACCAACAAGAGCACAATAAAGACAAAGAAAAATTTCTTTCTTGCTATTGTTTCTAATGTATTTAGAAAGTACCATGTGATTTTTTTTGTTGCTTTGTATGTCTCTGCTGCATGGTATAACCTCTGTTTTCACTGTATTTGATGTTGCTAT